CTTACCAGCTTTAAGCACTCATTCGTGTAACAAATATTTGAGCACCTACTATGTGCCACACACAGTGCTCAGGACTGAAAGGCCTCAGGCCTTTTCTTGATCTCAGAAGGGATTGTGCTCAGGATCCCAGTGTCCACCCTGGCCCAGCTATAGAACACCTGGGATTTCCCTTGGGCTAGAGAGAGCCACGTGGTTCAAACACTTACTGGGAATCTTTCTGCCCTGCACCTTTGACTCATTTCTTTCCCTTCCACAAATGGAGCTGCTAACCACACTTTTTCCTCCCCTCCCATAAGCTGAATTTATATTATTTATACTAAAAAAAAAAACCTACAAACTAAAAACTCCAACTTTAATTGCTGTCAAAATCCATCCATTAAAAAAAGTCATTTGGTTGAATAAGCAAATAATCCTGGGAAAGTTGAGACTGCAGTGGGTATGACAGAGCTTCCCAAGCAACATGTCCTGCTCTACTTCATAGGGTGACAGGTGTGACAAGATGCTGGTCCATTAACCCACAAGGCCCCTTGGCCAGCCTTCTTTGCCTCAGAGGAATGTCTTCCTCCTTTTATTCCGGTGTGCCATCAAAATAGTATCATTGTCTATGTGTGCTGCCAAGTGGAAAAGGTTGGAAAACACTGGCTTGCCTTCAAGACTATCCAACTCTGGTAACCTCTGGCAGGTCACTTCCTCTTCATTGAGCTTTAGTTTGCTCACAAATATGAAGAGGTGGTTACACTAAAGATCCCTAATTTCCCTTCTAGTTCAACAGTAAAATTATTCTGTAAACTGTGAAATCCCCATATAATATCTTGAAAAACAACATTTTGTGAAGAAAAGAGGCAAAAATTTAGAGCAAGACTTGGAGACTGCTAAAGAATTCTAGCTAATCCTTATTGATTTAATAAATTTGATTAGGTGTGCCAGAGAGCTGTGACTAATCCTGGGATTATACCTAAACAAGAGAGGCACATTTCCTGTTCTCTTCATGCTTATAGTGCACTGGGAAACATAAATCAAAAACGAGTGATTATAATTTAGTGGGATGAGTACTAAGATGGGGAGAAACACCGAGTGGTAAGGGTACGAGAGGGATCCCCACCCCAGCCTGGATGAGGGAAGGCTTAGTGCAAGAGCTGATATCTGAGACAAGACTTGAACAGGCAAGAGCTGGGAGGTGGGGTGAGTGGGCTGCGGGCACAAGGCGGGAGTGGGTGGGGTGGGGAAAGATGACATTTTAGGCAGAGGGAACACCATCTGCCAAGTCCCAGAGGCACAGTGACTTGAGAACAACAAGAAAGTCCAATCTGGCTGGAATGTAAAGCATGAATTCAAAAGGGAGAGAGATATGACAGGTGAGAGAAGCCCTGTAGCTGCACAGTGGAGAACACACAGAGGTGGGCAGGGTGGAGGTGGGAGACCCAGTGGCAGCCACAGCTACAAATACTTAGATTATGTAGTGAATCAGGGAAGGGGACCAAAAAAGAGGGTTTAAAAAAACTATTCTTAAAACTGGGAGAACGAAAGTGGGTAGAAAGTTGGCTTGTTCAGAAGCACTATAATAAATGCATATAATGCAGAATCCAGAAAAGTATACTTATAATTACATGTACAAAAGACCATTTTTTAAAACTACATGATTATCACAAGCAACAATGTCATTTAACTTTCAAATTATTTTCAGGGTGTATTTTATAATTAACACCCATAAAATATTTTAAATTGAATTTTACGTAAGTTCTTTCTCAACACTATCCCTATATATAAATTTATACCCTGAAAAATAGAATGCACTTCACCATAGCAACAATTCTATATCAACTCCTACTCAAGTTAGAGAAAGCATATGTAATAGAAATGAATATTCTGGAATATTCTGAGGTGCCTGCCTGGAAAAAAAAAAAATCACACCATTTATTTGGTAAAGATTTAAATATAAGAGTTCAATGTTTCTTTAAAACATTCTTGTAATTAGACAGAAAGCTATTTTTGTTCCTCAAATCTTGCTTTATTAAACAGTATAATATACTTTTTAAAAGAAAGAGGGAAAAAGAAAAAAAGAATGAAAAAAGAAAGAAAAAATAATATACTTAGGATCAAGTTGATGGGCATAGGAATGACAATAGAAAATGATTGTTAAGTGATTTATAAGTTAAATATAAACTAAGCTATTAAATATTAAATATTAGAACTATGTTATTTTTTCAAGAAAAGCTACACTCTATCGATATTATGGGAACTGAAAAAGGAATTATATTTACATAGTCTTCTTTTTAAAGATAATAAAAGATAATCCTTTTATTATCTTTAAAATATTTATTAACTTGTTTGATAAATAAGTAACATACTAATATCCTAACAAGAAATACACAAATTTCCTAAAAAGAATGAACAAGTTTATAGACCCTGGGTTGCTACAAGAGACCCCTTACCCCTTCCACCATGTGAGTACACAGCAGGAAGGTGTGCAAACCAGGAAACAGGCCCTCACCAGAAACTGAGCCTGCTGGTACCTTGACCTTGGACTTCCCAGGCTCCAAAACTATGAGAAATAAATTTCTGTTGTTTATAAGCTACTCAGTCTATATTTTGTTATAGCAGCCTGAACAGATTAAGATATGGGTTACATACTACCAAGTCTTTGTATGATATCAAAATGCTCTATTAAACTAGACATAATTCAAAGCATTTCCTTTCACTTCCCACTCTTAAGGCCAGCCAAATTCACCATACCACAGCCTTGCTCACAGCCCAGGGTAGAATAATTTGTTACAGTCCCAACTTCCTCCTGTTCTGGGCTTCCTTTTTCTGACCTACTCTCCAACTGTTCCCGTACACCTCAATTCTCTCACTGTCCTCAGAAAAATTCCTCAATGCTTCTGGTTTTTAATCACTTTGCTTACCACTTTCTTCATTTGTGAAATCAAGGCTTCAAGTGAAATCTAGCTGTGTGTTACTCCCCTGCAGCCCTCTCACCTGGGGGCTGAGCTCTCGGTCACATGAACCTCAGGGTTCAGAAGTTCTTTGCTTCTTTAGGGCTTTTACCACCTCTGCTCACCCTCACCGAGGGGATCTACAAACTTCCAGGTCACCAGTCCCCATTCCTTGCAATCTTGGACATCTGGATCAATGTCGTCTTCCACGACAAACCCTGCCGTTATTTAGATTATTTCAACATTCACATGGATGACTCTTTGCCAAACTCTGTTCCTTGATCTCTGTCTCCAAAGACACTTCCCCCTGTGTTACACCTACCTTCCAAGGCCACACCCACAACCTTGCCATCTCCCAGAAGAACACTACCTCTGAAATCTTAAAAGTCAAGCATTTCAGTCTTTGATACAACCTCTCTCACTGCTACTACCTACATATTAATCCTTTTACCCCAGCACCACACTATTTTACTTTGTGTTCACAAAGACCCTCTCCAAGACCAAAAAACTCTGGTCAGGGTTCTCTGAGTCTTCTTTTCAATGAGGTCTCAACTTTGGCCTATAAAAACTACAGACTCTGAGCACAAATGATTTTCTCTGTTCTCCCCACTTAGAAACTTGACCGCCAGCATAGATTCTAACAGTTCAAGGGCTACATCCTTAGGATGACCCTAGCCCCATTTAAAATACCTGAGAAAGCTCAGTGTTGTCAGAATTCACTGTTCTAGCCAAAACTTGGTGATAGGAAGATGCCCTGAAGCCCTTTTTAGAATAGTTATTTTAGAAAGCTTGCAATTATAAATACTTTCTCTGTCCCTTTGAGATGTAAATTTTCTAACTAGAACTGTCTTCCCAAGGACTGGAGAGCTGGCTCTTTGAAAGGTGGTAATTAAGGGTTATAAGCACCAATTAGCAAACCCAAATGGATTTCACATTAACCAACCTCACACAGCCCCCAGCATATTCCCCCTCACTAATCCCTCATTCTCTTTAAAATGCCCAGTCACCTCTGCGCAAATCAAAGTTGAGTTCAATTCAAGTTGGACTCTTCCCTATTGCAATAATATTACTGAATAAAATCTATCCTTACCACTTTAACTAGTATCCAGATCTATTCAGCTTTGACAATGTAACTTATACACCCTGCTACAAGTTCACCCTTTGTGAAGTGAATTGGTTTCGTCTTTATCCGATTTGAACACTTCTTTCTTCTTTATACTCTATGCTCCAACCTTGCTCAGCATCTTTCATTTCCTTGAATTTACCCTGCTATGCCTCACTTCCAGCCTCTGCCATACTGGTTCCTCTACCTGGAATACTCCCCTCTCCTTCTCTGGTGTGCACTGACTCATCTTCAGTTCATAGCTCATCCCTGGGGAACCTTCCTCAGTGCTCCTCCCAGACTGGGTTAGGTCAACCTGCTGTCTATTGCCAGGACACCCTGGTTTCCTGTATCACGGCACTCACTAAGCTGTATTATATTAGCCTATCTTCTCTGGGAGGGCAGGGAAGAGTTCTGTCTTACCATTCTCTGTTCCTAATACTCACTTCACTACCTGGAGCATAGGCACTCGGTATACATGTGTTAAATAAGTATTTAGGATCATTAATGTTCTCTAAGAGAGCTCTAGCCCATATGATGAGAATTCTCATCACTAGAATCAGCTGAAACATCTCTGATTCTTTCACAGAACCTTTGAAAATAGTAGAACACAGGACAAAGCATATAACATTATATACTAATAGGAACTTGCAAAACCATGGATTCCAATCCCATAAGCATACTTGGGTATTTACAAATATAAAATATTTTTATTAGGTTACCTAATTTAACTAATCAGGACCAATCCTTTAGTTGCTAAATCTTTCCATCTATGGGATAATCTTTCATTGGAAATAGCACCAATTCCATATTTAGTGGTAAATATAAAACTATGCCCAGGATTAGTCCATTTAAAGCCAAAGTTAAAATCTGGGTGACTTTTTATTATCAACACATTTATTTAGTATCTAAGAGTTTGGGATGTTATCAACTTTTAGTTATTTTTGGCATAATGTGGTACTTACTGATAAATTTGTACTATTGGGGACATACTGATCCTGTTCTCCCAGCAACATGTCAATCACAGGGTGCCTTCCATTTTTTATTATGATTTTCTTTTCTTCTTGTACAGTTGGTCTGCAAAAAGAAGTCATGTTTCAGTTTATCATGCATGGAAATAGCCTTTTAAGAAAACCCCAAAGGTAGCATGAAAAAATTCAGTATACAGTTTGTAAGACAGACAACAAAACCTTAAATATAGATTTTTAAGAATATGTATCCAGAATAAGGCTCTGAGTATAAAAGTCAAATATTAACTGTAAAATAAAATTGGGAAAGTAATCATTACAGTAATAGTGCACTGAAACATAAACTTTAAAAAAGCCTTACGACGATTCTACTTATTGTAGTTTATCTTTATAAGATCCCTTTTCTTTTTAAAGAATTTTTTTAAGAGACGGGGTCTTGCTGTGTTGACCAGACTGGAGTGCTGTGGCTATTCAAAGGTGTAATCACAGCACACTAGAGCCTTGAACTCCTGGGCTCAAGTGATCCTGCTGCCTCTGCCTCTCAAGTAGCTGAAACTATAGGAACATACCACTGCACTCGGCTTTATTTTTCATATTTCTATTATTGCCTAAGATCAACTCAATATTTTCATTAGTAAAGACAGCAGTTCAGATTATTGCTGCCTAAATTATTTGCAGTAATAAGTATGATAAGGGAAATCATGTAAAATTACTTCTAGATTAATTGTATCAATATAAACTATGTTATGTGTTGGACGTGGAAACAAAATGACCTAAAATTTTCATATTCTGCTAACTGAAACATCTTTCTATGGTCTTTAGTAAGTTTCACTTTTGATACAAAAATTATTTTTTTGCCTTGCTGTTCCTTCATGCTTTTTAAAACCTCTATATCCTGCTTTTATCTACACTTTATCTATATATGCAGGTACCTCTGAGCCCTGCCCTACTCTCAGATGTCCTCTCCACGGGTTACTACTGAAACTAGTTTGGTGATGTTCCTACCAATCTTCTTCTATGCATTTATGTTTATATATGCATTGTATTGGCTCTGTTTTCTTTTTTAAAAAATCATACTGTAACATATCATTCTGCAACTAATTTTTAAAAATTTTCAATAATTTTATTTTAACCTTCAGTATAAATAAAAAATAGATTTTCACCATTTACCATCTGGGTCCAGTGGACCCTTTTATTTAATTTACAGAAGTAAGAATAAAGCAATAGTTAAAAAAGAAAAATCTCATGACAAATTTTAATAAGAATTTAAAGACAACAAATCTCAAATTTTTATTCTCTATTTTCCTGGTTTTCTAGGTACATATACCTGGAATGGGAATATATACACCCACTCTGAATGTAGCTGCTCATCAGCAGTCAAGCATGTCCCTGGAACATACTCATTTGTAAATACTAAATTCTGGTTTGCAATGACTAAATACTAAATTCTAAATTCCAATACATTTCTAATAAGTTCTAGTTCATGACTTCTGGCTCTTCTCACACTTGTATCAACAAAAATGCAATACTTGCAGAATTTTTTGAAATGCTTTAAAGCTCATAATCTTCTTGAAGAGAGGACAGCTATCCTTTGTTCCATAATTGCAAGGAATTTTCATTTTTAGATTTATGAACATCAATTAGAATAAATCAAATGAATACTTTCATTTCTACATGATTTATTTCCTTTCAATCTCCTGCTTGTCCACCTACAAACTGTAACAAGTAAATTTTAGTGAACAAATATAATAAAGGATAGAAGGATATCACGTCTTTTAGCAAAACAGGATGGTTCAGGTTCTTGTCACCAAATAACTGCATGATAAACGTTTCCTACGGAATGACTACATGGATGAAATAACACATTTCAGTTTGCCCTTACAAATATATTTATTCACACATTGATTCTTGAGTTTGAGAAAATTCATCTAGGATATTGTCACCTGGACACTTAGATTTTGTTTATGTAAGAAATTCCACCATAATCATTAGCATCCAGAGCATTGGCATCTTTCTCTTCACATTCATCTTCTGATTAACCTAATAAATGTGAAATGCCTTCTGTCAATTGTTTTCTCTTGCTATTAAAGGTGAAAAATGAAAAATTCTGAATTCCTGTGTTTAATGAAAGCTAGAAGCAGATGTCAGTGGCGGCACCTGTGTTGTTCTTTTGTATTTTCTTGAAAGATCATGCAGCACATCAGGCAATACAATAAGAAAATGGAAGTATGATGTGATAGTGATTTTCCCCCCTCACTTTTGTATCATCATTCTCCTGTTGTCATTTTAGACTTTTATGGTGTAGTTGGAATAAGTGATAAACAATGTTGAAATAATCCCCAGCATGATGAAATAACAAAATGTTTCAAGACATAGGAAAAATAAGATCACTAAAGACCCCAAAATACATTTTAGATTTATAAAAGGGTCCAATGGAGCCACAGGGTAACATAAGACAGGATAAGTTTTATTCTCCTTTTTAAAAAACAAAAAGTACATTTTTTTCTCTGTTCATTGGAAAACCTTTAAGAAACTCCAATTATATCCAATGGACTCTTATGGTATGATATACTGAAGATTAAGGATCATTTCCAGATTTTCAGGATTCTTTTGAAGTTGCTACATAATGAGTTAACTCTACTGTTAAACATTTAGGTTATATCCAAATTTTACTGTTGTAAACAATGTTGCAATGAATAACCTTATATATACCTCCACATGTACATGCCCAAGTGCTTCCCTGAGCTAGAGGAAATTCTTGAAGCGGAATTTCTAAGTCATAGGGTATGCCTATATTTTTATTTTAATAGATAAGAGCAGCTATACCAATTCACCTTCCCACAAGCAAGATGTGAATGCTGATTTTTTCATGCCTTCACCTAGAGTTGGTATTATAAAACTTTTTAATTTTTGACAATGTGATGGGTCAACAGTGTTATACCACTGTTTTAATTTGTACTCATTGATTACTAAGATTGAACATCTTCTTACCAGTTTTTTGGCCATTTGTTGGTCTTTTTCAGCATCCTACCAATGACCTCCTCGAGTTGACTCAGAACTTTCACATAGAAACACATTTCTGAACTTACTCATAACACCAAGGAATGTTAAACACTTAAATTCTTCTTCTTCAATATACCTGGCTGATAAAATTCCAAGAATGTACTCTCACATTTTTCAAAGAAAGCGACTACAGTATCTCCTGAGTAAATAATTTGTAATCATATGTTGGAGAGAGACACTTAAAATTACAAGAAAAGGATAGCTTTGGGATTTTAGAGTATAATTCTGAAGACAGAATTCTTATCTAGGTGAGTTATGAATTTACTAAAAAAGCATTTATAAGTGATATCAATTTTAAAATAAAATCATAGGTGCTCTGCCAAGTGAAATCAATATATTATATTCATGACATTGATATGACTTCCCGGGAAGCTTTTTACCTTAGAATAAAACTGAGTGACTTGTTCTGTGCTAAAATTTACACTGACTTATTCTGTTGCTATCAAAATTATATAATTGACAAAACACTCCCTGGTAGTCAGAAGCGAAGGATAATTCACAGAGCTGGGATGATATATGAGGATGGAATGACTAGTCATAGCAAAAAAAATATGAAAAACATGATGGTATCTTACGGCAGTGAAGGAAAAAGAACTAAGGAAATCTAGATACTTCTTGGGAAGAATAAAACATTTGAACTTGAACAAATTTATTTTAAACAAATTTTAAACAAATTTATTTAAACAAATTTATTTTATTTTGTATTTATTTTATATTTATTTTGTATTTATTTTATTTTGTATTTTATTTTGTATTTTAAAACTGCATCTCTCTTTTAACTGCCCCAGAGAAACAGAACATAATCTACATTAGTAAAACAGTATAATATTGATAAGAACTTCTGCCTAAAGGTTTAGACTACAGTGAATAAGATATCCTACAAGCATTTGGAAAGAAAAGATGCAATTATGAAACCAAATAATCAATTTGAACTGCAATAGCTCAAATGCATTAAAGTTTTTTTAAAAGCTGGAAATCTAAGAAAAATACATGTAAATTTCATGTATGTATATACTAGTTTAAAATGTATTTCAGATATTAGTTTCCTATTTCATGGCTATTTACATTCAATTTTATTTTTGTCAAAAAAGAGACTGATGAGATTACCAAAAGGCTATGGTTTGATTCACTTAGATATTTTTCAGATAGATTTTTCTTAATATAAAATATATGATATCCAATTTGGAAAATTTTTTAGCATGAGAAATATTTCCTAAATGTCTTACTGATGGCCTAGATGATTAGAAACAATCCTCCTACTGAGGAAAAACAGAAAAGTTGGACAACATACAGAAAAAAGCTACCCAAAGGTACCTGTTAACTAATAAGATTATCAGGCTAGGATCTGGGTGGGACAGGGGCCCAGGAAGGAGTCAGTTTTCCCCTGTGGGTGTTTGCTAATTTCTGAGGGAATAGCTGAGGCTGAGTGCTATGGACAGTTTGCTCTGGAATAAGACACCAAGGGCCTATACACCAGCATAAGAATGTTTATGAAGTAGAAAGTGTAGCTCACCTTTGAATCACCTCAACCCCTGATTTGTATAAAATGATGCTACATTGTTACTGTCCTGACATGTCTGATAAAAGTAACTCTTTCAGAATGAGTATAACCTCTATGGAAAAACAGTATGGAGATTCCTCAAAGAACTAAAAGTAGGCCTACTATTTGATCCAGTAATCCCACTACTGGGTATCTATCTATCCAGAGGAAAAGAAATCATTATATCAAAAAGTTTATCACAGCACAATTCATAATCACTAAGATACGGAATCAACCTAAGTGCCCATCAACAGATGACTGGATAAAGAAAATGTGATATATACATACACACACATATGCACACAAACACATACCATGAACTACTACTCAGCCATAAAAAAAAGAATGAAATAATGTCTTCTGCAACAACTTGGATGGAACTGGAGGCCATTATCCTAAGTGAAGTATCTGAGAAACGTAAAAGCAAATACTGCGTGTTCTCACTTACAAGTGGGAGCTAAGTGACAGGTATGCAAGGTCATACCCATCTATAATATAATGGACATTAGAGACTCAGACAGGGGGAAAGTGGGATGGGGATGAGAGATGAAAAATTACCTACTGGGTACAGTGGACACTATTTGGGTGATGGGTACACTAAAAGCCCTGACTTCACCACTATACAATTCATCTACATAACAAAAGACCATTTGTACCCTCAAAATCTATTGAAATACATATATTTTTTAAAAAGGACATACAAATGGCCAATAGGTATATGAAAAAAATGCTCAAAATCACTAATCCAAGAAATAGCAATCAAAACTACAATGAGATATCATCTCACCCTAGTTAAAATCACTTGTATCAAAAAGACAGCCAATAACAAAACACTGCTAAGGATGTGGAAAAAGGGGAACTCTCATACACTGTTGCTGGGAATGTAAATTAGTATAGCCACTAGGGAGAACAGTATGGAGATTCCCCAAAAAACTAAAAACAGAACTACTATATGATCCAGCATTCCCACTAGGGTATATATCCAAAAGAAAGGACATCAATATTTCAGAGGTATCTCCGTTCCCATGTTTATTGCAGCACCATTCACAACAGCCAAATATGGAATCAACCTAACTGCCCATAAACATAAATAAAGAACATTTATCTAATATATACAATAGATATTATTCAGCCATTAAAAAAATGAAATCCTGTCATTTGCAGTAACCTGGATGGAACTGGAAGCCATTATGTTAAGTGAAATAAGCCAAGAACAGAAAGACAAATACTGCATGTTCTCACTCATAGGTGGGAGCTAAAAGGAGGTACAGAGTAGATGGTAGTTACCAGAGGTCTGGAAGGAAAATGGTGGTGGGGGGAGAGGGGCACATGAAGACCAAAAAAAAAGAATATAAATATATTTATTACCACTGAATTGTACACTTAAAAATAGTAATGATGGTAAATTATGTATATATATTTTACCTCAATAAAAATAAATAAATAAAATGTCTATAGGTAACTAATGGGGCAAATCTGTATGTGGTTGAAGCCCTCTTATGTGACAAGAAACTGGACAATAATGAAAATGCAAAGAATCTATTTTAAACAAGACTGTTGTTCAACACGAATGGATAGCAAGATAAAATGAAACAAAACAGCAAACAGTACGTTTAGGGACCATTATGACGTAGCCAATTCCTCCATCTCTTCTCTTCCAAATAAAGAAATGCTGTACATTAAACAAGCTTTTAAAAATATCCACTATCTACTGGGTACTATGCTAGGTACAAAAGCCATGTATATTTTAGAAAAGATATTGGGCCCAAACTAGAGAGGAAACCAAGATAAAAAAGAAGTATGAACAGCAAAACATAGATCTGATGCACTCTGTGGGCCATAGGTTGTCAGGCAATATCACTTAAATGCTTTCTTTTTGGTCCTCACAGTAAGCCAGTGAGCTAAATAGTCTCTGAATTTTTAAGTGTATGAAAAGACAAGCTTTTTGAAGACATGCAACTTGTCTAAAAGCTACAGCTAAGATTTGAATTAGAGCCATTTGACACTAACATTTTCTATGAAAAGAAGAACAAACATTCCATGTTGGGATGTTTAGAGTTTAAAGAACAATGGGATGAATTTGGGCTTTCAACAAGAGGAACAGGAAAAGATCACAGAAAAGCACTCCCCACCTCGCTCAGTCCTTTCTTGCCTAATCAAGCTTTTATAATTATAAAAGTGTTCAAGTCAAAGCTAACAAATGAAAGCAGTATTCAAACTTTATAAAAATGTCATCCATGTAAACTTTAACATCTGCTTTCATTATATATTCAGTAATAGAACAAGCAGGAAAGGAATTTGTTAATTTTCAAATCAAGCTATATGGATACGATATTCAGCTTTACCAAGAGTCTAACATAATTGAATAATTATATTTTATAACAAAGACTACAGTTAATTGAATAATACCATCTTATCTAAATCATTGATAAAGGGGGGAAATAAAAAATATATTTACCTGCAGTAATCTCCTTGCTTAGCGACCTTGGCCAGGGAGAAAATGCAGTCAACAGTTGCTAGGTGATGCGTTGCTTTACATAATGAGTGATAATGTTCACTGAACTTCCTATAGAAGTGACAGCAACAACAAATAGGTAAGTACATTGATTTCTTGTCCTATAAAAGCTATACAACAAGCAATCACTTTACCAGCTAATATAAGTATACACAAAATTACCAGGCATACCTAACAGTTTAGGCATAATTAAAACAAATATAGCAATCATTCTCATTTAGTTCCAATAACATCATGAACTACACTAAGATGGGTGAGCTTCCCTTTATGCTTCTCCATCATAGCATCATCCAAACTGGGAATAAGAGTTTCAACACCTTTCTCTCATACTGAACTAGAAGCTTCCTGAAGCCAAGCGCACATCTGTCTGATCTATCCCATTGTACACCTAACAACTAGTTCATAATATTGGCACAGAATAAACACTGTAATAAATAGTTGTTTAAGACAAGCAAGAAAAAAGACACTTTTCAACTTATCTCCAGTTATCTTATTAATGTTTATAAAAATTAAATATTAGTTTTAAAAAAGATAATGGTCATTGCCTCAAATCTTTGGTTAATTAAAACTATAACACCCAGTGATCTAAAAGCTTAAAAGACTTACTCAGAAAAAGTACAGGAATGCATGCTTTTTCTTCTTTTTTCTTTTTGCTTAAATAATCCCATTATCTTATATCATAGTATTTTATGTCAATGTGTGCAATATTATATAAACTGTGGACATTTGTACATAGTGATCAATTGTGGATGCTTGAACTATACGTATTTAAACTAGAAAAAGGACTCAAAACTTAATTTTTTAAAATGCTCAGTATATCTTTTTAAGTAAAGAGAAAATAAACAACTGAGCTTAAAACCTTACAATAACTGCTCTGGCTCCAAGAGAGATTCCAAGACTTTGTTCAATTAAAAAATTTTTTAAATGTAAGTGGTGGTAAGTCACAAATTCTTCAAAGACTGGAAAATATTTGAGGGAATATAATGATAACCAAATTAACTGTAAACAGGTCCAAAAGGAAAGCCAAAGGGAAAACCAACTTTTACCAACCAAAGACTATGAAGAAGCACTATATTGTTTCTCATGGTGGGTCTTCATTACTTAAGTTTTACAAATGAAGTTCAGAGAGAAGAAGCAATTAGGCCTAAAGCCATCAGCTATGTGTTTAACAGCACATAGCTATTAAACAGTAGAGCCTAGATTCAAACAGTAGACCTCTTTATATCACCCTGCTTCACACTGCAATTTAACAGACTCCTAGTAGCATCTTTCCTTATTTTTGTACATACATACAAATGAAATAGTTGTAAGTTGCCTGCTTTCTACAATTAAAAAAAAATGTAGCTCCAGTGTTCCTTCATCCTTCTAAAGATGATCCAAAAAGAAAGACAAAAAAGTTAAATACCTCTCTTTAAAAATATTTCTCTATTGTAGTGTGGGTTTCAGAAATATTGAGTCTGTTTGCTACTGAAATCCAAAGGTCTTAGAGTGCTTCCTAGCTTGAAAGAGATACACAGATTAAGCTATTAAGATGACCAGCTATTCCTATACAATCACTATGATCTTTTTAGAAGTGCAATTTTTCTAGTATTATTAGAATAAGATATTCTATGGAAATGACATTTTCCATATACTAGAAACAATATTTTAATTACGCAGCTTTATTTCTGTGTTAACTATTTATAAATTGAAAAATATTCACAGTATAGTTTATACTTCTGTATCTAAGCGGAGCATAATCAATATAATCTACCTATTTCTCACTGAATCAAAGTTCATCAATACAATACAATTCCCACTAATAATATTAGAGTATGTGCAAAACCACAAACACAAAGGGGATGGACCCCTGGCATCAGACAAGTAGCCCCCAGCTGCCACTTTAAAATGCTTCTGAACTTTGAAGATGCCACATGTTGCAAGGACCTAACTATGCCTTGTCACTCCTAATGTGGCTTCGATACCATTCACTGACCTCTTGCACTGTGGTGTATGCTGTCCCTATTCTAATTACTGACACATCCTGTCTTCCCATCCTGGCACCTTCTCTTTTGCCAGAAAGCAGCCATATTTGATGTTTCTGCCCTTGCTTTTCTGGACATGAGTAACAAAACACTTTGGTACTAAAAAATGGCCAATTTTTTTCTCACTCTCATTCTCTCCTTCACAGGTCCTATCCAAGCCACCAAGACCCTAATTTGCTACTCCTCTGCAGCCAGAGTTAGAGGGTAACTGATGATCTTCTAATTTTCAGGATGGAAATGAGTAACATAGCTCTCATTGGGTACCATCTCAGTTAATAAAACAAAAAAGCAGGGAGGTATATGGTAATTATTTTGATATGGACAACAATGTTCTTTCTCATCTCCATGGTATAAATAAAATGAAAAACTATCATAAACCTATAACATCATCATAACTTGAAGAAACCTTGCTTGACCTTTTGGTCTTTGTCCATTTGTTACACCTTGCCAAACTTCAAAGAAATTATCCCCACTTACAAAAATGACAGAAAATGGGCAATTCAGATAATAATCTGATAGACTGGGTTTATGTCATAACAACATGCAACTTTATCACTATGACACCAACTAACTTAAGAGTAAAGTCAAAGCACTGTGATTTAATCTCTGGCCAAAAGATACTGTTGGATCTATGGGAAGCAAATGAAGACTCTTGGGTTCTAAAGTTGTTATAACTAGAAGTTTACCATCAAGTGGTGTTCAAAGACATCTGAAGTTAATAAAAATGGAAAATTTTTCATTTGTAAATGCATTTCTAAAATTTTTTTAATTATATGAGATATCACAATTAAATTTTTAAATAATTTGTAATTGAGAAGATTATCCACAGCCCATCTTCTAGACCACAAAAAAATCTCTTTTTCAGAGAGGATTTCATCCACAGCAGTGCCTTGATTTCTTGCAACATTTTGACCAAAAGTAATATGACTAATGCACAACAGTCAGTACCTCAATAAGGAGACAAATATATTTATATGGCTGGTATTCAATCCCCTGATGTCAGGTTCATTGAGGTTAATCATTTTTTAATGACATCATATTCAAACCATCTGGCACCTTAATAAATAGCATACATAACAATCAGTGCTGCTCTCAAGTAGGGGCTCTAGCTACAAACTCTCTAGCTAAATTTCAACCAATATTCTTTTTATGGATAAGAACTTTAATATATTTTTCTTATTTTGACAGTAATAAATGTACACTATAAGAACTTCTGAAATCATGTACAGTCATCCTTCAGTATCCATTAGTTCCAAAACCCCGAGGATGCCAAAAGCCTTGGACGCTCAAATCCCTTACATAAAATGGTGTAGCATTTGCATATAACCTATGTACAGCCTCCCAAATATTTTAAATCATCTCTAGATTATGAAGTCATGCATTCTATGAATAAAGCAAACATGGAAGTATCTTACCAAATCCCAGGACCCTTCTAGACTATGGTCCTTGAAGCTTGAAAGGTGTAATTTTAGTCCAATTTGTGTGTTCTTGGTGATAATATTAAAGAAAAAGTCAGGAGAACCGAAAGACTCAAAGGCCCCAAAACCCTTAAAATGGGAAAGCGACAAGTGAAAGTGAGATGGAAAAGAAACTGAACCGAGAACATTTCCATCCCCGAATTAAAGACTGTGTGTCAAAATATCTCTAAAGATCCAGGATAAGTAAATCAGAATCTCTTCCTGGTCTTATAATTCAAGACTCCTCTAGGCAAGGAGAGTTTAATATCTACTTACTACCTTTTAAAAATTCTCACTTAATATTTTTATTTCACTTGTCAGGTTGGTCACATGAAATGAAATAAAGCTCCCTGAAGGACCTCACTGAATATCTACTGTTTAAGTTTTTAAGGAGAGAAACCAACAGAGAGATCTGTGTTTAGAATAATGCCTGTAGATTCACTGTGGGCAGCCTCTACACAGCCTGATGGAAAGGGCACTCACCTGACTGCCAGATGACCTGGGTTGAATCTGGGCCCCAATCCTTATCCTTATAAGACCTGCTTCTTATTTCTGCCTCTCACTTTACTTGTTTGTAAACTGTATATGATAATAATACTTAACCTCACAGGACTCATGTCAGAAATAATGAGTTTAAATATAAATACTTAGACCAATGGTGGCCTGGAGCTGGCTCCTACGGACTCATGAAAATTAACTGTGCACATCTCTTCCCAACTCCAGTCCAGTGGTAGCTTGAAGTCAGCCATGGTGGGAGTATTTACACTTGAGAAATCAGTAAACTTTACAAATATTACTGTTCTTCCCAGGGCCCTGGCTGTTAACCATTTGCTAGCACACCACTGATTTAAAACTGTCAGTATGAACACATAACTAGCCATAAATCCGAAATGTGAGACACTCTTTTAGACAATGACAAGGACTCTTCAAAAAAATCCCATGTTATAAAAATTAAAAATGTGGCAGACTATTCTAGATTCAAACAGACTAAGGAAACATAATAACCAAATGCAACGTTTAAAAGTTGATTGGATCTTCCATTCAAAAATCTGAGGGGGAACATTGAGGAAATTCAGGATTCAAATATATTCTTAATATTAATATTAATTTATCTAAGATGTGATAATGGTATTAAGATTGTATAGTAGATTATCCTTATTTTTAACATATGTATGCTTAAGTATTTAGTGGTAAAGTGTCATGATGTCTAAAACTTTCTTCCACAGGGTTCAGAAAAATAAAATAAAATAGAAAAATAAATGTGGCAAAATGTTAACATTATATAAACCTAGGTGAAGGGCATATAGGCAGTCATTTCAACTTTCAGTAGATTTTTTAAATTGCAAAATAAAAAGTTAGGGGGAAAATATACAGCATGTAAAAAAAAATTTAATTAAATGGAGATAAAAAACAAAATAACCCATACTTCTCCAATTCTGAAAAAGATGTTTAGCTTTGATGTAAGAAAGGTAAAGTCCAAGGTAAAATTTTTAAAAGTGACTCTACTAAGCATCCTTAGTAATAAATGTTAATACAGTAACAATAAAGTATGTTTGGTCTCAAACCAAAGACTAAGATGAGCTTACATTTCAATGGATTAAAAACCAAATCAGAGAACACATGTACTCAACTATTTTAAGGCAGGTCACAAGAAGTAATCTCTACTTTTCTTTTTGATGGAAAGATTTTCCGGTCTATTTCTCATAGCAAAAAGTCAGATTATATTTTTCATTGTAAACTCACTCTATAAAATCAAGCCATTCAGCACTGCAGTCAAGGACTAGCTGCTCGCGGAGCTGATTCAGATGTCTGTAATTTTCTACAATAAAAGGAGAGTGAAAGCGGCTCACAGCTTTTGTGCTAGAAGAGGGGAAAAAACATAAAGAGGAAATCAAGGTTAGTAAGAAATCAGTAATGCCATCACTTCAGAAATTTAAAGTAGTTATTTACTATTCTCTGATGAACCTTGAAAGGAAATAGCTGTAAACAGAGAACATTCTTTAATTACGGTCCTGAACTCTACTGATTCCAAAGTATATGATTATGTTCAGAAAGCTTTTTAAATGCATTTCAAATTATATCCATATGCCACAGTCAGAGTTTAGGATTTTTAATTCATAGGCAAAAAGCTTTTTTCTTTAAGTTATAATAAATGAAAATGCTTTTTAAAAAAAAATCAGAAGCAAATATGGCAAAATAAAGTGTGACAAAGCTGGCAAGTAGATACATCAGTGAAGAGTTATATTATTCTTTATATTTTACATTTTTCTGTATGATTGAAGTATTTCAGTGAAAAAAGAAAAATAAAAGGCATTACAAAGAACAGCAATGCATTAATTAAAGAGGCAATCAAAGAAGAGATCTTCAGGATTATAGAGTCACAGTGGTCCTGGGTGGGAAGAAGCGCCACATGCTCCTCACCTGGGCCTGAGCACCATTTCTGCTCTTTTGGTCCAGAGACTGTACAGCACATGAGTAATGCTGTGGGTCCCCAGTCAGAGAGTCTAGGCAAAGCCTCTGACCCTTCCACTTACTTACTAGCTATGTGACTTTGGGCAAATGGAACTAACCTTCTCTAAACACCACTTTCCTCATCTATAAAATAGAGATAGTAGTACCTACCTCATAGGTACTGCTAAAAGGGTCAAACAGATAATGCTTAGCAGAGTACCTATGTTGTGAGTACTCAATAAAAATTAGTTGTGCGGTGGTGGTGGCGGCGGCAGCAGTGGCTACTATTGCTGTTGAGGCTATCTATTATCATGATGGGTCTTTCAGCAGAAGAGCAGGGTGCACTCTGCTCTTTTGTCTGCTCCCCTACTCCTATAATACACTGTCACTATTATCTTTAATTTGGCAAGTTACTGGATTAGGGTTGGGCCCTTATATTTAAAATCTGACAGATGATGTTCTAACCCTGTCAAGGTCCTGATAGCCAAACAACAGATAAAAAACTGCAATGAACCTTCCCTAAACCATCTTATTTGTTCATTCAGTGTACATTATTGAAAGTTCAAAAGATGGTGACAATGATTTATGCTTTGCTTGTTGCTTTTAAACTACACCATCTAGATTTCTATGCCAATATATTTTTTATAGCTTTCTTTTCTGGCAAAACTCATTTAGTGTGACATTTCAGTTATTGTTATTGATGGATTAACATGATTTTGGGTAATTTCTCTTCATAAAGGATATTTCCATTCATTAGCTATACTATAGGACAAAACAAAAGGAAAGAATGTCTGCAAAGAGAGAAAACAACATCCCCTGGAAAACAATACTGAAATTTAAAGTACACCTTCTGGTCACACAGGAAAAAAAAAAAAAAAATGATGGTATTACAGCTAAAGAAACACATGCCTGTGCCTTCAACATCCGATGCTTTGGCAATGGATAATAGTTTTCTTTTTTAATTAAAATAATAAATTAATCATCATTCACATGTCACAATTTTTCTTCATCCTCAACACAGAGTTCCTTCACATCATCACCAGCTACTAGTCCCTCTTCTCCTATCTTAGGCAAATGTAACATTTTCATCTCATATTCATAAGCAAACTTATTAATAACAGTACTAATAAATATTCCAAAAAGGATACTACTCACAGAAGTTTATACTTCCCTAAACCATTTCTTTAAATGAGTCCCTTCTTGGTGATCAATGCCTAACCAAGGAAAAAAGGCAGAGTCTCAATGTAGTTCTCTAATTTTGTTTTTGACTAATTTGTTTTCATCATTTCATGAAAAAAAGATATAATTACAAAAAAAGATATAAAGAACTATGATAATTATGTGCCAAGGAAAGCATTATGAATAAAAAAATGTGGAGCTTAATGAGGTAGAAAATGAAATTTCAGTTTCTTAAAAGAAATGTCAGGCATAGCATTCATTAAGATGTTCAAGCAACTAAACTAATTTTACAATTGAAGGTTCCTCAACTTTTTCCCCATGTGTACTCTGAGCAATTAAGAATAAAACAATAATTTATAAAACAACAAATGTATACAAATAAGATATACTTCTGAAAAATGGTTTCTTAAGATCAATAAAAAAGAGTTAAAAATAATTATCTCTTTGGTTAAAAGTTCCATAAGAAAACCAAAGGAAGAGAATTGCTTTTAATTTCAAGAATGTGGCTATTATCAATCCAACACTACATAGGTATACAGATGTCATTATAGTTTATATTATAAGAAAAAAATTATTTTGAAACCTACCTTCCAACCTTAACCCAATCGGTTGGTATGCAAGATATAGCAGAGTTCTTTATTTCAATCATGAACTAAAATAAACATAAATAAACAGATATTTAGATGAATATTATATTTAAAGCTGTCTCAAAATTGTGGTATAAGAATTTAGTATATATTGTTCTAAACATTCAAAATAAATCCAGTATTGTTCTTCAGAGACTTTATGTATGTCAATACAGCCAAATATTAATTAGGATTTCAATACTTGGGATAAAGTAAAATTTGTATGGATCAAAAAGTTTGTAATAAAGGATATAACGTGGGCCTTTAATGTGGATAATAGTGTTATGTGCATAATATGAATGATGATATTTTTCATTAATAACCTCTTTCATTTATTTCTAATTATCTTAAGAATTCTATTACTCAAACAAGATTGAATTTCTAAGTATATAAAATTTTAAAATGTTCAATTACTAGATGTTATACCAGTTTGAGATATGGTCCCTCCTCTACTGTGAAAAGATTTTTTATAATAGTCTTTACCCAAGGAACCTAAATCGTCTAGAAGTATCCTCATAAAGAAAGCACTGACTTTCCCAACTACCAAGAAAGGAAAATATTCCTTCCCATATGAGTTTTAAGTTTTCACTCATGTAAACCGTATCTTTATAGATCCATCTGTGTTCTGTAAGCAAGCTTCTCTGAAATCAGCCAGGAAGCAAGTGAAGTCAAGTTCTTCTATTGCACCTTTCATTTTCAGTATTAATCATATATCATCCCTTCTTGGTGTGCTTTCATTCCTGTATTATTACAATCAAATCCAATGTTCTATTTAAATAAAGTTTTTAAAACCTATTTTGTATAGAATGGAACCCAGAAACTCTGTGGTTGTCATTAATTTTAAGATAGCTACAAGAACTTTTCACATTTATCAGTTTTATGATATGCATATAACTTCTGGTATTTATAATAATCATATTAACAGTTATCAACCTGGCTCTTGCATTTATTTTTCCATTAACAAAAACACTGTAGCTTTTACATGAATCAGTATAAGAATTAATGGCTAATCTTAAGAATTCTTATCCTTAGCAAAAATTTTTGAACTAATGATGTCTTTCTGTATAAAGAGGAATTAATACGATTTCAAATCTACCATGCCCAGTTAAATAGTTAAGGCTAAAAAAGCCCCCTTTGGCTACAAAAACTCGAATATAAAAATCATTACTGGGAAAGATAAAACCACTTTTAAACTATGCTAAATAATCTTGCTATTTTAAAATGTTCTATGAAAAGACACGTTGGCCTTTTTATAAACTAATTCTCGGAAGAGCTATGCCAAAGGCAAACAGCAAAATACCGGAACACACTGGATCACTGATATTTGGGAAGGACACATCCAGATCGATCCATAATGACTAACGCAGAGCTCCAGGAGTTTTGAAAAGAAGCCAACAATAACAAGGAGCACCTTGGGAACAGTGCAAGTACCAAAAGTCTACTCTAGGAACCACAAGCACTATATTAAGCTGCCATATTTAGAGTCAATACAGGCTGGAAAATCAAGTGGGAGTCAGGAAGGCACACATGGAACTCCTGCTTGCTAGCCTCCTGCAGTCACACCCTCAGAGGAGTGTTGGTTCTGTGTGTCCTCTTTTCTCTTTCAGCAGTCCTCAGGTTTTCAGCCTGTGTTCCTCCTCAGAGCTGTCATCAGCTAGCTTTTTTCTCTTCTACACTGGCTATGTGATAGCAAATTTTTCAAACATTCTAACAATGAGCAGGCAGGCCTTCCGTTCAAGGATTTTATTGCTGAAGAAAACCAACATTGGAAAAGCGCATATATTCCAGAAGTCTTAGATAGCTCTCATAACAACTTTTCCTGCTCTACAGTTCCTGACTTTGTTTCCTAGGTGTTAATGTGAGAAGGCTGCCTTGATTCATTATAGCAATCTCCCATACTCTTTTCCTAGGACCCAATTCTGTCTTGGTTAAATGTCAGATATTGTTACTCAATCTACATAGCCTGTGGTATCATGGGGCTGGCATCAGTGCTAGGTTTGTTGAAATTCGTAACTCACCCCAGAAACTGCTCTGTGTTTTCTCCAGCACCATGCTTGACCCATTCCTCTGCTCCCCCCTTTTCTTTCTTGCTCTTAAGAATTTTCAAATATTTTTATATTGAAGATTTAACAGAATGTTTTAAACATACTAAACAGATTCTGGATACACAGTGTGCTGTAAGTTAATAAAATTTTCTCTAAAGATTTTCCCCAATATTTCTTCCTTTCCCTTAAGAATAATATTTATCAATACAGCCCCCAGTCTAAATATCACCCCATATCCATTCCATATTTGATTGAAGGTTAAGAGATAATTGTCAATATTCATAAAATATTATAGAGACTGTCACAGAAGCAGTGAAGTATGTAAAATTATATAAGTTTCTGCTTTCATTAGTTTCTGATAAGCAATACTTTTAGAGTCAGAGACAATAAGGCACCACACAATAAGGCTTAGTATACCGAGTAGCGCTCTGGGAAGCCGAGGCAGGTGGATTGCTCGAGGTCAGGAGTTTGAAACCAGCCTGAGCAAGAGCAAGACCCTGTCTCTACTATAAACAGAAAGAAATTAACTGGCCAACTTATATAGAAAAAATTAGCCGGGCATGGTGGTACGTGCCTGTAGTTCCAGCTACTCGGGAGGCTGAGGCAGAAGGATTGCTTGAGCCCAGGAGTTTGAGGTTGCTGTGAGCTAGGCTGACGCCCACAGCACTCTAGCCTGGGCAACAAAGCGAGACTCTGTCATTCATTCATTCATTCATTCATTCATTCATAAATAAATAAATAAATAAATAAAAGCTGGAAACAGAGATGAAAAATGAATGTTGTCAAAAGTAACACTGGCTTGACAGCCTCGCATATTTATCTGTCTAATTTTAGTAATAACAAGATCCATGTACTATCACATGGGTCTGCTATAATACGTTTTTTAAAATTGTCACAAAAGTCATATGTATAGAAACAAAAATTCAGACAGAACACAAAACATATAAACATAAAATAAGGGTTTTCCTCCTTGCCTCCCTCACTTTTCAGAGGTAATCACATCTGACATAGTCTGTTCTTAGTCTTTCAACTATCTCTAAATAATCTGGTGATATCTTTAGACCATTTTTTTAAAACAGAATTTGATTATAAAGATGTTCAAATGAATATAATCACTAGCTCTCCAAAATATTTTATGAAAGCAATTCTGTACTAATGTACTACTAATATCCTAAGGGAGGTTGTTAAAACCCAACAAGAATCCATCCTACTGTTAAAAACTAAGAAATTTTCCTCAAACCCAACAACTTAACCTAATAAAGACATAAAGAATGAATAAGAATATAATTCATCTTCTTCCTAATTGTTTATAATTACTTGATTTCCATTCTATATTTTTCTTAAATCTCAATGCCATACTCAAAATGAATAACCAATATACTATCTCTTATGAATTCCTGATAATTTCTCCCCATTTTTACTTTAAAAATACCAAATGAATCCAGAACTGTCTTCCCAAGGTTTAAACTTTATTTTAGCTTGAATAGAATGAGCTATAAAAAGGTCTTGATTTTTACCAAATAAAACCCATAGCGTTGATAATCTCTTGTGTTATTTGTGAATGGAATGAAATAATGATATGGTAGAAAGACTAGGGGTCAGACACACCTGGGCTAGAATTGGGCTTCTGACCTTGGGTGACTCACCTAACTACTCCAAACCTCAGTTTTCTTTTCAGCAAAATTGGAATAACCTTTTTTTGTGTTGTTATAAGAATAAAATAAAATAATATATGTTAAGCACTTAGCACCATTCTGGACTTTAACAAATGCTTGATAAATGCTAAATAATCCTATTATTGTTATTATATGTAACATAAACATAGCACTTTACGATTAGAAAGCACTTTCACGTATATTAACTTAATTGGTCTCCATAATAGTCTCACAATAGAGGTGACTCTTCCATGGTCACACAGTTGTAAGTGGTAGAACTGACACTGACACTTAGTTTTCTCCACTGTCATACCAAGCAGTCACTTTTCTATGACATATCTTTTTATTAATGTTATTAATGCAGTTTTGATCATCTGATTTTCAACAAATAGCCAGAATAGTCGCCCTAAGGTCATTTTTTACTTTGCAAGGTCATTACTGCATGGTTAAAATAAGAGACATGAGTAAATATTTGGTGTTCACATTTTCAGAAGATAAACATAAGTATAAATATTGTCAAATCATTTTTATGTTATATAGAGCTCTATGTAAAATGCATTGTCAAATGTCTACCTGAGAATAACATTTTATTAATTTTCGTGCAAAAGACAGGCTGACTTAACCAATGGTTAAATCTATTAAATGGCACAAAATTAATAAACAATTTAATAATGATTATCATTTACTGTAGAGCTTATTTCAAATAACCATACAATCAATAATCTATTGGTAAAATACACAAAGCAATTTAAATATTTTAAAATTCGATTTGAAATTAAACTCTTCCCTACCATAATATCTATTTTTTAAAATCCTAAATAAAATGTTCATCCTATAGAAATTCATAAATTTCCTAATTTATTATTATAATGAAGTAGAATTTCTCAAATTCTCTTAGTTAGAATCTCTGTATTTTATTAAACATAACACAGCAGTAGCACAGCTCAAAATTCAGAATAGAACTAAAAAGTACAACCACATTTAAAAAGCACACTTCTTCCTTTTCTGGTTCTCATTCAGGAATGAGAACTTCCAACTTTAAACAGAAGTACACATCCCCCCAAACACGTTCTAAACAGCACCATAATCTTATGTAAGACTCTTTAAATGTAGGTTTTCCCTCTGTAGATTTGTTTTCTGTTGTTGTTTGTTTGTTTGTTTTTAGCAGCTATACCCTTAATTTCAGGAGGAAGCCCTGCCATTTAATCATTGGATGATCCAATCAGCACAGATGTATCATTTCATCATCTGTAAGCCAAGGATCAAACACTAACTTCTTATTTCTTGGATTTAGAACAAATGAACTCTATAAATTACAATTCAAAATAATTGAGATTTTTTAATAATATAACTTCAACAAATAACACTAAAACACATGTAACAGTAAGTTGCATAACTTTACCAAGAAACTAATAGAAGACCATCATTAAAATAATTCTTATCAAAACAAGTTATTACAACATATTTCTAAGGAACAAAACAGAACATTTCAAAAAAATACATCCTCAGATTTTTATTTACATTTTAAAATTGCTTTCCTACTAGAGAAAAACTAACACAAAATAAAAGTATGTTTGACATTACCTCCTGTCCTGACACCGTCACATATTGTGCAGAAGGATTTTTTAGTATTTTCCGTATTTCTTGCAAATGTATTCGGATCTTGTCGGTAACTTCTTGAATTTCATCCTTCCTCTTTTTTATTAAAGGGAAGTCAGAAAGGTCTTTGAATAGTTCAGTTTTATCCCCAATTCTAAAAAATTTTTAAATGCAAATACATATATTGAATCATATTAATTAGACCAGTTTTCAATTATTTTTTGTAATATGATGAAAATGAAAGGGCTAGAAGTCAGGAAAACATGAGTCTAATTCCAGCTCTGCTACTAAGAATTTATGGGTTTCTTAACTTCTCTGAGAATAGACAAAATTACCCTAGTATTGTTTTTTGTTTTGCAAGTTCAAGTTCATGATTCCTATGGTAAAACCAAGAGATAAAATTAAGTATTTGTTATTTACCTATTCAGAAAACAAAAACAAATGTAAATGTCAACTCTTTTTTTCTTTTACATAGATCTCTTTCTGCAATGCATTGTGAAATGACTACCTTTTAAAGGATAACTTTGCTTTGACATATTCCAAATATAAGGCAGACCATCTATAGATATCTAGGAAATGAGAACAAGATGCCATCTGACACCTGTTTAGGGGTTAATAGACCGCCATGACTTGGCTTTGCCTGGGTTTTCGTCAACTGATACTTGGGGAAGTAGTACATCTGTTCTAGATGGTGAACTGCCTAAATTTTATAGCCTAAGTGTTACTTTCAGCTGTAATGTAAAACTTTTATTAGGATCCAATCATGTTTCTAATTATATATGTGCTCATTCAACTTTTATCATTATTCTAGCAAAGATTAAGAATCCACACATCAAATGGCAAATGTACTGGATTATGTTAACTGCTGAAAAGGAAGAAATGGGGTCTGGTACTTACTTGGCAGCTTGTTCATTAAGTATTTTAAAGTAATGCTCCACTGGACTTAGAAGTTCTGGAATTTCTAAGATAACTGTCCGGAGCAAGTCTGACTGAATGTGGGAATTAACAGCAGGTATTAATGCTTGAAGTTCTGACTTCAGATGATACAGGGTTTTGACAATCAAGAAGAACTCTTGAGTAGAACACTGAAAATAGAAAAATAATTTTTTTTTTCTAAATAGCATAACATACATGAAAATGAAGTTTAATTAGTGAGCTTTTTAAAGCTAGGATCAGAATAAAGCAAAATTTTAATTTAAACTAGTTAGCTGAAATAAAGTATCACTGATATTTTCTAAATGAGGTTAAACACTGTATAGTGTTTTTAAGCTATAAAGACAATAATGTGAGCCAGGGATAATCAAACCAATACTTTCTTAGTATCTTTTCATTTTAAAATACATTGACCATGTGGCAAAAATACAGTAAAAAATGTGAAGGACAGTATCTGTAGGATAAATGAGTGATAAAAAGCAAAAGTCTTCCAAATATAATGGGCTGTTACAAATACACAAAAAGATGAATAATCCAAAGAACGGTTAAACAAACTGAATGTACAGCTCATTGAAAGAGAACATCCAGTAACCACTTGATTAACTTCATACATAACCAAAGACAAACAAGTTAAAAACACAAGATAGCATTTTTCACTTATTAGAATGTCAAAGATTTAAAAGTTTGATAAAAACTATATAAAACAGGATGAAAAAAATATTTTTATATACTATTAGTAGAAGCCTAATCTTTTCGAAGAACTTGGCATTTCTTCCTAATTTTTTAAAAGTACACATATCCTTTGAATAAACAATTCCACTAAAGAATTTATCTAAAAAATACTTAAACAAGTAGTGAAAAACATGTGTACATTGAACATGCATAGTAGCAGTGTTTGTAATATTAAAAAGATGAATAAGGTAAAAATATCCATTAATTGGGATCTTATTAGAAAAAACTCATGCAGTTCTGGTGTGGGGGCTCATGCCTGTAATTCTAGCACTTTGGGAGGCTGAGTAGGAAGATCACTTGAGACCAGGCATTTGAGACCAGCCTGAGCAATATAGCAAGATCCCATTTCAAGAAAGAAAGAAAAGAAAGAGGGAAGGGGAAGAAGGAAAAGAAAGGAAAGAAAAGAAGAAAGGAAAGGAAAGACAGGAAAGAAAGCACGCAAACAAGAAAGAAAGATTAGCTGGGAGTGGCGGTGCATGCCTATAGTCCCAGCTACTCAGGAAGCTGAGGCAGGAGGGTTGCCTGAGCCCAGAAGTTTCAGGTTACAGTGAGTTATGATCATGTCACTGCACTCTAGCCTGGGCATTGGTATAAGACCCTCTCTCAAAAAAGAGGGAGAGGGGAGAGGGGAGACAGAGTAAAATATTAATAGAAGATACTGTAACCATGAAATAAGGAGGCTATTTGAAAGAAAAGAAACATTCAGAGAAAAAGAAAACAACAAAAATTCTTGGAAATTAAATTATGATTGAAGAAATGAAAAATTCACCAGAAGAGGTAGAAGATAATGAAATCCTCTAAAACCTAAAATTTTATACCCAGCCAAACTATCAATAAACTGTGAAAGTAAGGGGCAAAAAACCATTTCCAGATATTCATGTTTTAAAAACTTTACTTCTAACACCCTTTCTTAGGAAGGTTCTAGAGGATGTCCTCCACCAAAATGATGGAATAAACCAAGAAGAAGACATGGAATACAGAAAACAGAAGATTCCACTCAAGGGAAGTAAAGGGAATCCAAGTTGGTAGCTCTACAGCAAATATAGAGGGCAACCAGTCAAGACTGGATCAGGTCTGAAGGCTCTAGAAGACAGTTCATAAGGAAAATAAAATTGATAGACTATTTGATGAAAATAAATGTCAAGATGAGAGGATGATTTAAATTAATAAGGCACATCATAAATAGTATATATAAAATGGATTAATGCTAACTCAGAACATATTAAAAAAACTATTAACCACAAAGGATACAATAAATTATGCAAAAATAAGAAGTTAGGTTGAACTGAGCAAAGTTGAATTCTAAGTGTATCATAAAGCAACTCTTATCCAGAAGGACCTCCCGGTACCCCCATAGAGGGTTGTCTGCATAAGTGTGGAAACTTAGCAGCTTTTTGGCCACAAGTAAATGATACATTTAACAAAAGTGAAGAAATAAAAATAAACATTTGCAATATAATTTCTGAATAATAATCTCTTGTAATTATTATAATTAGAAAGGCAAGAAAGGGATTAATTTTCCAAGCTCAGATGTGATGTAAAGTCAAGTCAGCAAGAGAAGCAAGAGAAGCAAGAGAAGAGAACACCAGAAAGAAAAGTGCTTTACAATGAAATGAAGTTCCAAGAGCCAAAGGCAGGATGTTTTCAAGTTTCTTCTTTTTTTTTTTTTTTTGAGACAGAGTCTCACTCTGTTGCCCAGGCTATAGTGCAGTGGCATCAGCCTAGCTCACAGCAACCTCAAAGTCCTGGGCTCAAGCAATCCTACTGCCTCAGCCTCTCGAGTAGCTGGGACTACAGGCATGTGCCACCATGCCCAGCTAATTTTTTCTATATATTTTTAGTTGTCCAGCTTATTTCTTTCTATTTTTTTAGTAGAGACAGGGTCTTACTCTTTGCTCAAGCTGGTCTCGTACTCCTGACCTCCAGTGATCCTCCTGCCTAAGCCTCCCAGAGTGCTAGGATTACAGGCATGAGCTACTGCACTCAGCCATTTTCAAGTTTCTTAAGCAAAAGTATTCAAAGAAGCTGCAAGGAAGCTGAGGATAAGGTTAGTAAAGTAGCTTGCTCCTGAAGTCACTGTGTTCAGCTCCACTTCTGGCACCAACCATCTCTGTGGAAAAGATCTCTATCATTGACACCATAAAGACACCTATTTGTGGATATTCCAGGGCACTTTCCACACAACCACACAGCCTAGGCTGACCACTGCCACAACATCCAAACAGTGTTCCTCCATTGTATGGATTTCACGTAGTTGGCACAATCATACCCAGGACATCACTGACTATGTAGTGGATACAGCAGAAGCTTATTTAACCTACTGATAAGGAAAAGACCCATGCTTGATGGTGTGTTCCAAAAACCAGCAAACTAATCCATAAAAAATTATGTAAGTAAAATTCAATGGAAATCAAGCAGGTGGGAAGGGAAAGGGGTGGATGTACACTTATAACTTTGACTCAAACTGTACAAAAGCAATTCATGTTACCAAAACATTTGTGCCCCCATAATATTCTGAAATTAAAAGAAAAAAGTTAAAGTTCTGGCTGGGTGCAATGGTGCATGCCTGTAATCCTAGCATTCTGGGAAACTAAGGCAGGAGGACTGCTTGAGCACAGGAGCTTAAGACCTGCCTGAGCAAGAGTGAAACCCTGTCTCTAGTAAAAATAGAAAAATTAGCTGGGCAACATGGTGCATGCTTGTAGTCCCAGCTGCTCAGGTGGCTGAGGCAGGAAGATCACTTAAGCCCAAGAGTTTGAAGTTGTTGCCGTGAGCTATGATGATGCCACAGCACTCTAGCCAGGGCAATAGAGCAAGACCCTGTCTCTAAAAAAATATAATAATAATAATAATTGATGTGCTTAGCATTCCTAAATTTGGTTTGTTACTGAATGATTTCTACTCTTCACTTTTTAAACCAATCTTTAGGCACATTCTTGTGTAAAAATTAAAACAGCAACAAGGTATGGTTTCTGAGTGAGCCATAGGTTCCCTCAGTAAAACACATTTTGAAATCAAAAATAAAAGTCATTCTTTCACTACATATTGCTCACTTTTAAAATGAATTAGAGTCTAACTTTACTAGAGTTTTGAAACTTTTATAAATACACAAACCTTATGAAATACAACCATCAAAGTAAAGTTTACAACGAGGCAGCAAAGGATAATAGAAATCATAGTGGCATGAAATAATGCCGCCATCTTAATGTCATATTCCAGGACATTCTGACTTAGCTCTTTTGATTAGCCATTGAAAATTTTTTCAGCTTTGCTCCTCTTAAGAAAAACAAAAATCTCTGACATTTGTCAGTGAGTCCTTTCAAGTGCTGAAGACAAGGTGCCTGGAGATCTGTTGCTTGATGATGGGTTATATGCACTGATTGTCAGGCTAAGGATATAAAACAACAAATGGTTTGGCACCCACTCTGTAACCTCAAAAATGTCAACCATAAAACTCTCAACTATCAGCACAACTGCTCTTTTTGCCAGCAAAACAACAACACAGTGTAGCCAGTGATGGCGCAACAGATTCCACTGACCCCATGACCTACTCATGCAACTTTTTCCCCAGGAGTAGTAGCCCCAATTCTGGCTTATACTTTGTTTTCAAATTTAGCTGAAGCATATGAAACAGTTACATAAGTCCTCTTGGGCACCACAAGTATTCCCCAAGGTAGTGTACTTATTCTAGTAAAACTTTGTGGGGAACAGGGGCCTCAAAATAGTTAATACTACTGAAAAATTGGTCACAACTGAAACTTAGCATATAAAAATTGTTCTACAATAAAATTATTAAATTGACAAGGATTTACATTCGAGGAAATATATAATTTGCTTATGAAAAGTAGCAACCAGGAAAAACATGCAAAGGCCAGTCAAGACAACTATGTCAAACATGGTAGTGTCCAAAAGACACAGCCACTAAAAACACAGTCAAGAACACTGAATCTAACTAAATGCAGATTCTGTCACTTACTAGCAAGTTACCAATCCTCTTTTAGCATCATATTAGCCAAGGTAATGCAAGCAGTTGTAGCATTAGATATAATTTCTCATTAGCATGAAGGTAATAAAAATAGTATCTTTTCAATGTCATAAAGTTTTCACAAGGAAAAGAGTATAATGCATGTGAATGACTTCTACAAAAGGTAAAACACTATAAAAATTTTATTTTTTTTTATTTTTTGAGACAGAGTCTCGCTTTGTTGTCCAGGCTAGAGTGAGTGCCGTGGCGTCAGCCTAGCTCACAGCAACCTCAAACTCCTGGGCTTGAGTGATCCTTCTGCCTCAGCCTCCCGAGTAGCTGGGACTACAGGCATCCGCCACCATGCCCGGCTAATTTTTTATATATATATCAGTTGGCCAATTAATTTCTTTCTATTTATAGTAGAGACGGGGTCTCGCTCTTGCTCAGGCTGGTTTTGAACTCCTGACCTTGAGCAATCCGCCCACCTCGGCCTCCCAAGAGCTAGGATTACAGGCGTGAGCCACAGCGCCCGGCCTAAAAATTTTATTTTTAACAATTATTAAAAATATAACTAGTAATTTATTTTAGGCATATTTTGAAGATAAATTATTTCTGGGGTATAGCCTCATTTTTGCTATGACTAAAGTGATAAAAATCAAAATTATGCTTTATTACCTGCCTTCAATATCCAAACTTATCTGTATACCAATACCACTACAAATACTACACCAGCAGATTTTTTGTTTAAGTCAAACAAATTGTTCTAAGATCAAAAGAAATATGGTATCTCTTTTCTAAAGTAGCAAGTCTAATTAAATTTCCTATTTTAATAATTTTCTACACTTTGAGGATGAAACAAGAGAATACCCCATATTATAATAAAAGGGCTTCTAAATGTATTGCTGTAGTTAATAGAAGTGAGAATACTATTTACAATGGAAAAATTAGTATAACCTTAATTTGTACAATTAAAATTTCTGAGGATTCAGCTATTCTCTCATGTTATTTTCAGGATTTTACAAAATAAAATAATAGAGCTGTCAGATTTTTTTTTAAACATATAATGTCTTCATGTTAAGGAATCTTATTGACTTTAATAGATTTGGTTTCTATCATACTTACTTTTTTGTGATAAATGCTACAGAGTCCTCTCTCTATATCAGGCAATTTACGTAGATGGTTTTCTATCTGACCAAACACACTAGATTCTGAATGGAGAACTTCAGATACAGCATCAAGTCGGGCATTTATTTCCCTATAAGAACAGAGTGATAGCAATTATTAGATAGATCTAGGAACTCAGATATTTCCCACTCTAATGCCCAGGACTATGAGACAGCCACTTAGAAAAGCACAAAGAAGACTCCTCCATATCTTTGGTCATTCCCTGCCTCTTATTATCATCTGAATTAAAGAACAGGTACCATATAAGGAAAGTCATTAGCTGGGTGGGACAAGACTGGCTCACCAGGCAAACACAGAGACTGTATTTCCCAGTGCCCCCTGCAGTTAGATGTAGCCACATACCTGAGTTCTGAAGTATGGGTAAGGAATTACATGAGCCACTTCTAGCCCTGACTCATAAAAACTTCCTGGGTACTGGGGGATGGTCATGAAAAAAAGAAAAAAAAAAAAAACTTCCCAGGTGAGCTTTCACATTTACTCTTTCCCTTCGTTGCTGGTTAAATGTTGAGCTCAGAGCAATCTTGTGTGCCACATGTTGACTCCACCTGCCTGAGTCCATGAGTGGAGCAGAAAATCCTCTACTTTCATATCTATAACCAGTTGTAGCAAGAAATAAAATTCTAATGTATTTAACCACTGAGATGGAGAACTTATTTGCTATAATAGCTTCCATTACCTTGGCTTATATAATAGATCTACAGTGAACAACAAGATGACTAAGTGGTGGTGGTGGTAATGGTCAAACTGATCAACTGAATGAAACAAAACTAGGTATAGTGAGCCTGAGCAAAGACTGGGGAGTAGCAATAGAAAGTGCAGAGGATATGACTTCTGAAGACTCGGGAGATTAGGGTTGCAAGATTTTATCAATGATAACACTTTAAGAGATGGGGCACTTGGGAAGAAGTGGTGAGGTCTTGTCAACTTAAAATGGAAATCTGATAGACTAAATATATCCCAAATGAGATGTGGTCCATGAAGTACCTATAAACATCAAAGGTACACATCAGATATAATGGCCACATGTGATATTGAAAACTAAGATAAGAAAACACTTCTGGTGAATAGTGGGCCCTCAATAAATTTTTTTAAATGAATGAATGAATAAGCAAGTGGGCGAAAGCATAAAATGATCTTTTAGGGGGAAAAGAGGGACCAGCCACTGAATAAACAAGTCTCTCTTTCAAAATTCTGTTGATAAACATACACACTGATATGAAGGGGAAATCTTACTTAAATCAGGTTCCTATCTCAATGACAGTTCAATTGAGTACTTTAAAATTAGTTGGGTGCTTTTATCTTCACTATCCTTATAATTACCTTTGAGATCAAGCCTTTTCACAATATAGAGCCACTATACAAACTTTAGGTTTCATTTTTGTTCCATTTTTCTCTGGCTCATACCCTCCTTTGTAGAACAAGCATTTGGTTCAAGCATAATGCAGTAGAATAAGACAGAGATTTGTAGACACAGACTGGCTCCTATGGAATCCATCCACTTCTCTCCTTCTCTAATGCCACAACCCCAGTGTAAGTGAGAATCATTTCTTGCAAAGACTACTGGAAAAGCCTCCTAACTTTCCCCCCTACATCCACTTTCTCGAATTCATCCTCCACACTGTAGCCTGAACAGTCTTCCTAAAACCCAAATCTGGCCATGTCATATCTGCTTTAAGCTCATCAATGACTTAACACTAATCTTAGGTTCAAATCTAGAATCCTTAACTGACCTACGAGACGATGCCTGCTGACCTCTCAAGTCTCCCCTCAGGTCACCTGTCACTCTGACTCAACTTCTTCCAATGTCTCAATCACTCCAACTTCTCTGACACTGGGCTTTCACATTTGCTGCTTACTTTTCCTAGAAGACTGCTGCCCACTGGCTACACTTCATCTGGTAAGCTCCTACCCACTCTTCCTCTGAAAGTACTTTCTAGACTCACTAGACCAGGTTGAATCTCTTTGCTATCCTTTCTCATACCACTCTCTTTTCTCTTGCCACAAGGGGAATCATAACTAATTCTTTTTCAATTGGAATTTACTGTGTCACTGTCTTTCCCACTAGACTATAAACTCAGTGAGGACAGTGATCATTTCTTCATCCCTGCAGCTCCAGGATCACAATATATGCTCAATAAATAGCTCTTGAGTTCAATTCAATTCCAAAGACTACATATAAAATAAATCAAGATGAGGTAAAAAAAAAAAAAATTAGATTTTCTTTTCATACTATTGTTGTGATAAAATAAATCAATGTTTTACTCTAACATTTATCCAAAATGCTATACAAATATAGTTTTACTTTAATAACTCACTCCTGCATAAATGAAAGATGATACCAATTGGAATAGACTAAGCTGATGCTACAGATGGTTTCAGGACAGATAAAATAATGCCATCTGTGAACATATAAGACAGCCTACACAAATAGCTACTGTCTCAAAAATTTTTAAAAATGTTCTGAGTTATAGAAAGATAAGAGCAGGGGTTTAATGAAAACCTAAGCCATATTTATGAAATCTACCAGAAGATTTTCTTTAATAGATATAAAACTATAAGTTTCTTAGGGAAATGCTGTTGCTAAGTTGGTTTGGAATCTTGGAAAACACAAAGAAAGCAGCTTTTACTCTCTAGCTTAGTGTTAACGCAGGCAAAAGCAGCATGTTCATTATGCATCATTTTGGTTTTAACCTAACCTTCTTTAGGGAAGCAATAGCTCAGAGGTTAAGACTTGGGATCAGAAGGCAGGTTGACTTAGTTCAAACCCAGGCTCTGCCATTCACCAACTATGTAGCCTTGCCTAGTTTCTCCATCTATAAAATGAGAACAGCCATGGGCCCTAACTCTTGGTATTACAAAAATTCAATGAAATAATACATGCTTAGGCCGGGTGCGGTGGCTCATGCCTGTAATCCTAGCACTCTGGGAGGCCAAGGCGGTGCATTGTTTGAGCTCAAGAGTTCAAGATCAGCCTGAGCAAGAGTGTGACCCTGTCTCTACTAAAAATAGAAAGAAATTAGATGGACAACTAAAAATGTATATAGAAAAAATTAGCTGGACATGGTGGCACATTCCTGTAGTCCCAGCTACTTGGGAGGCTGAGGCAGAAGGATTGCTTGAGCCCAGGAGTTTGAGGTTGCTGTGAGCTAGGCTGACGCCACAGCACTCTAGCCCGGGCAACAGAGTGAGACTCTGTCTCTAAATAAATAAAATAATACATGCCTAGACTTAAGACAGTGTCCACTACATAGTACTCATTAAATATTAACTATTACCATCATTGTTACAAAAATTTTTAGTAGACACCAAAAGGGACAGCATGAGAGAGGGAGAAATAGCACCCAAAATACAATCTTGAATAACTATATGTAGACAAACCTTAGAGCATAAATATGTACACAGGTATTTTGTGCAAAGTGAACAAGGAAGGAATATACAAGAAGAGGTAGTCCTAGGATCTTGAGTGCTAAATCTGACACATAGAGATGATCTGAAGTACCATGTTAAAACTGGTTAGTAGGCTGCATAGAGAAAAAAGCATGTTATAACCAGTTATGGATGCCTAAACGGGCAGGGAGGGAGTAAAAGGGTCAGGGGCACTGTTTATCACAAATTTCTCATTTATAAACCACCCCATTTCATCATTGGGGTAGCTATAATTCCATTTTATTTCCTATATACAGATCAGAATGCAAATAAATAAGAATGACTTCAAAGTTTTTAAAAATAATTCCAATACCTTAGAATTGTTCTTTAATTAGTAGTAACAAGTCCTTCCAAGTAATTATAATAAAGCAATATGTCAGACCACCAGAATAGAGATTACTTTAGTACAATCAGTGAGAGATTTGGCAGTAGTGACAAGTAACAAAACAGGAAGTAGCATTGCCAAATGAATGATAATAAAGGCTTTATTCCAAGATTCCTTCTAGCATGCTATAGTTGATCTTATAATACTATACAATCTAAACAAATGAAAAGAAGGCAAGTAAATAATTTCACTCCACATGCTCCCCACAAAAAAAGAATCTGAGTTCCTAGGTATAACAAATATTCTTCTTTACCACCAGAGATCCAAGGACTAAATGTGGGTGTCACTGGAGTCCTTCACATTTGAAGATGAACTAGGTGAGGATGTGAGTATCTATTGTGTATGGCTGTCACTCAGAAACGCAGTGTGTGACCCACCACTATAGCCACTGTTAAGAGTCAGTACTTGCTGGTTGCTACTTGTGGAGATGCTCCTGGTGTGAAAAGGCTGAAATACAAACTGCTGAGGGGTTGTTTGTTTGTTCACTAAAAGCTGTACTTTAGAAACAGATGGCACAAAATGTATAAGTTAAATTCAGACGGTAACACATTGGTCATGTGATATGACTAAACCACTATATAATCCTCTATTAGAAACATGAATCATAATCCCTTTCCTAGGACCTAAGCATCACTACCTGCACCTATCTAGCTTTGCCTTTCACATACACCATTCATTCATTCATTCATTCAATGAACAATTACTGAGTACTTACAAAGTACCAATTGTAAAAGGTGGTAGACATTAGGGGTTTAAGTATTAACAAGAGACCTTTTTTAGTCACAAAGAATTTAGACCCTAATGACGAATAGTAAAACTTTTAAAAAAGAATTAATGGTAACAATGTGATAAGATGATAAGATTATAACAGGGTTGTGATCCAGGTAAAATGGGAACACAGAAGAGAAGGATCTAACCAAATTTTAGGGTCAGGGAGGATTTCCTGGGGGGTGGCTATTTTCTCAGTGGAGACCTGTAAAGGATTAGGGGAAGACAGAGGGTAAAGGTGTGAAAAGTTGACAGTAGGAGCCAGAGAGGTAAGCAGAGGCCTGATCATATGAGCAATGCAGGGCACATAGGAGCTTTGACTTTATCTTGGAGACAATGGGATTCAAGGCTAATTTGGGATGTCCTTAAGAACAGCAGCAGAAAGATCAGTTAGAAAACTGCCTCAAAAGTCCTGGAAAGCAACACTGAAGGGCTGAACTTGAATAAAGGATATGGGAATGGAGAGAAACATGTATAGTGTCAAGAATATT